ATTAGTTGCGTTCACGCACAGCTCCTTAGCACGGGCTAAGAGGTCAAATTCTTTAGCCCGTGCTAAGAAAACGTGCGTGAACACTTAACACGGGCTAAGGAATGCTAAGTACGGGTTAAATCTGATCCGAATTTAAGACGCGGCCTAGATCTTAGCACGGGCTAACGAAGTATGCGCGAACGCTTAGCCCAGGGCTAAGCGCCCTCTGCAGCGACCTTTGGGTGTGAAAATTGTCCCATGTTCGTATAACGACAATATTCCACCAGTCATTACTCCGCGCTCGCTTCCACATTAATCGGGTCACTGTAGTAGAGCATACAGCAGCTCCAATCGTAGACAAAATAAATTTGGTTCGCTGTCTACAACATGTATTCTGTTATGACCGTTGTATACTGTTATGTGCATCCAAATAAATTGGGTCCGTCTTCTCTCACGTTCCTGTGCACGTCGCTTCAAAATTAGAACGAAACATGCCAGCAGCAGAAATAGAACCTTGCGCGTGTCATCCATTTTTCGTTCGTAAATAGCGGCTTACCAAAGGTCACCGACTAATGGCACCCCTTAGCCTGTGCTAACGACTGGCCCTCCCTGTGCGTGGACGCAATTGGGTCTAGCCGAAATGCAAATATGCTAGATAAGCCTAAATCAGCTTAAATCTTAGCCCGTACTTCGTGTAACGTGAACACAACTATTGTGCTTCTAATTAATAATGCTTATAGAATAATTGTCTAATTGCAGATTTAAGGATGGTGTAAAAAAAAAGATTTATTTGATTATTAGCTGCCAATGTCAACTGTCACAAATTAATGCATTGTTTATTTCTTTCCCATTCTCTCTCTCTGAGATAGATAACGAAAAATGTGTTCTACAAACTTTATAACAGGTGCGTTTTGAGATGAGTTAACCCAATAAACAAACAGTTGTCTCACACTAAACTCTATTCTAGGTTTGTCCACAGTAAAATTGTGTTGTAGATTGTAGATTGTTCAATTTGGAAATTGGATTAGATCCAAGCATAGTTCTTACTGAATGTTTTTTATTATTTAAAATACAAGGCATGTAAAAGACTAAAATGCTGTCTCACATTTTCATGGTGTTATTCACTGCAGAGTCGTAGTCGAAAAGCTTATGTTTACATTCTGTCTGTTTCTATCTACTACACATTCTAGCAACACCATGACACACTAGTAGGGTATAGGTGAAATAAACGCCTCTTATCACCGGATACCATTTAGTTGTATTTGCATAGGGGTTTTCCCTGGATATTAGCTTTGTTGACAGTTATCAAATAAATAGTACATAAGAGACATATAGTTCAGGCACCTCAGACTCTCGACCTCAGAGACCCAATTCAATTGCAAGACAGGTTTACAAAGACTATTATTGTGGATATACCAGTACATGTATGTAAATACAGAGAGAGAAGGCGAGGGCACAGAATATTAATGAATTAAACTGTTAAATGGTTAATACACAGACATATTGTTGCTGTAAACTCTGTTGGTATTCTAGATAATTTCAGAAAGAAACAACATGTTGTGTGTGTTTAATAGCATAGGATATTTTTTACTTGGAACCTACAAAATACAGGTTGCGCAAAGTCCAGCAATAAAAAAAAATTACAATTCAAACAACAACAAAATTCTAAAATGTTGAAAAACACTAACTGTGCTAAATAATAATATGTACTGATATGTTGCATGAATTTTACTGTTTAATTTGAATGATTTACTGATCTAGCAAAAACAGACAAAATAAACAACTTATCATTCAAATTTCATGAGACTTGTTTTTGAGAAAGGAAAAAACTTTCTGTATCATTAAACTTTTTACTTGGGTTCTTAAACAGAGTTACAGCGACTTTCCTTGCCTCCATAAGGGAGAGAATTTTGTGACTATCACTGAAGGGGTTTCTTAAAACAGGGAGTTGCTGTAACTGTTACTGGGGCACCTTAAAACAGGGGGTCACAGTGACTATCCCTGGGGTTCCCTGCAATAGGGAGATAAAACAACTTTCACTGAGGACAATTTGGAAGAACTGTTGGTTAAGGGTCTGCAGCTCCATGGCCTGCTCGATGCCTGGAAATGTGAATGACTTTATCATACAGAGATGGTCAAAGATGAGCAGCCCTATCACAATGGTAAATATAAAATACGGTTTATGTGTGCCGAGAGGAACTTTATCATGGTGGTATGAAGAGTTATTTTAAATACATAAAGCTGTAGGTGGTACAAAATATATACAAACAATTGTCTCCCCAGGGTACAAACAGCATGGCTGTAGCAGTGCTTTGTTTTCCCTGCCATACTTGTCTCACATCACCACAGTTGATATCCTGACTGCTAGTGGTTTATTAATTTCCATTATGCCATTTTCTGACTTTTTTATATTAAATTGATAAATTGCTGTACACTGAAACTTGTATGTACGTCATTGAATAACAATTGATGAAACAATTGTTTAATTTGGTACATTGTAAATTGAGTAATTAAATTTTTAATAGGTATGTTAATTATTACAATTTCTGTTTGGAATAATTATGCAAATAATATGTAAATTGATACAAATAAATACATTGTAAACATGAGAATTGATTGTAAATAAACTAAGTAATCTTAAAAGTACAACTTGAATGGAAATAACTTCTTAATCAGCAATTTGAAAGTATAATTTACACTCAGATGTGTTGGTGTTGTTCTAACCACCAGTGACCCCAACACAACATTAACATGACCAGGCTAGCACTCTCAGTGTAAGCCTTTATAACAATAATCACACAACTGTCAATTGTTAATGAATGGTGATCCCATCTCACATTACCACTTGTAAGAAAGGCAACTAAAGAACAGACCAGACCATAGAGTAAACACTTTGTCTGACTGACAAATTTTAGATCACAAAGCTTTTACTTTCATTCTCTTTTTAGAGTTAATTATTATTTCTTTCCTTTTTATTTCAAGAATCCTTCACATTTTAATTTAATTCTTGAGTGGACAACAAATAAAATGTAACTTATTAGCTGTCTGTGTATGAGGAAATTTAATATTTTTAACAAGACTGTTACTTGATATTGATGTTTTAAATTAATCTACAAGTATATCTTTAACTGGTCTGGCATCACAACCAGTATGATTTCAATAATGTTCTATTGGGACTACATCAATAACAGAAATGCACATACACTAAAAATTACATTTAATGTATACTGAATTATTGATTACAAGTAATGCATTATATCGTCCCTGTGAGTTCTCAAGTTAAAGAAATAAAGTTTGAACTTGAATGATCAGTGCACATCAGAGATATGCCTTCAAGAACTGCATTCACTTAAATAAAATGACCAGCAGTCGGCCATTTTGAATCTGATCTGACAAACTAATATACATATAGGCATGTTTAACATTCAATGGTCATACCGACAAAATCTGTCAACACACAAATAACATTCTAATTCAGAATTACAGAAATACTTGATTTTGAAATTTTTTTTAGATTAAAATGGTTGCAATTCAACCATCTTGAATCAGATCACTAATTGAGTAAATGTTCAATAATATTTCAGTAGCTTAGTTGTCACATATCAAATTACTCATTGTAGGCTTGTGTTTTGTGAATTATTTAAAAATATGGGTTTTAAAAAGTGACAACAAATACCATATTGCATAATAATATGTTCCATACACATATTTGAAAACTACAATTTAGCAGCCTATCAGCTGCTATAGCTTTGCTGTTAGAAATGCACAATGAGAAAAGAATATAAATCAATCAGTCTAGCCATTTTCATCATAACAAGAATATTCGCCTAAACCAGAAAATTCAAGTCATAAAAAATCTAAATGAATTAATCTGAGAGAAATGAATCAAAACAGTCTGAGGTCCAACAAAGGTTTCTGCACATAAATTATTGAAGCGATTGGTCTAGCAGTTTTCAAGAAGAAGTTGAAAGAAATTTGTAAGGTACATTTGTTATGATAACCATACAAATGACGATTTTAAAGAGGTCAAAAATGTAAAGCTCATGATGATGAACAATGAATAATATGAACAGCTAGCTCTGCTCTGTCAACTTTGTCGACAGCAAAACTAAAGAGCAATATTTGGCCAATTTGTTTTCAAAATAAGTTACTGTACACACAAAAATGTTGTTTCATGTTACCAAGGATTTATATTTCCATAATTATGCATAATAAACTAATAAAATTGTCATGTAATTCATGATTTTTTTAATAACTTTCTCAAAAATTATGAGTAGGACTGTACGAATATAATAAATTGCATAACAGCATAAAACTTGATAGAATATACTTATTTAGAGTTGGGCAACTTGCAAACACATTTAATCTACTGTAAACCACTGTCATGTTGTCAGGGACAATTGTTTGTAAATTTCATGAGTCAATGAAAAAGGTGCCACATGCCATTATAATTGGGAAATAGCAATATGCTAATGACACTTGTACCGATACATCTAGAACCAACCACAATTGTTCATTTTTGTTCAAGTCTGGATTGATGACAACTGCTGGATACATAGTACTTATAGCAATTATGATATCCTATATGACAATGCTGTAGAATATATCCTCTTTGTACGGTCTGTGACAACGTAACAGACGATGACATATGATCCAGCAATGTCAACAGTTCAAACTGAATGTATTATATCTGAACTGTGATGATATTCAATAAATTCTCAGACTTTAAAGTGAGCGTTAAAGCATTAGTCAAAACAATTTTGGAAACCTCTTCGTTTTCTAAAGTGTCTCCTCTCTATTCAAATTCAGCACATTATAAAGCTATGTAAAAATGCAATACGGATGAGAACATGTTTATATTTTTGATAATGTTGTTTCATACTTTATGTTGATAATTTGACTATGATTCATCATAATGTGAAAACGCTGTTCTTTCATTTGATAAAACAGTGAAATTATTTAATATACACCTGTACTGGCTGTTTTGGTTTGAAATACTATTCATTTTGATGTGTACATACCTAGGGAAGATGCTAAGGCGTCCAATGCCAATAGCATTGACTGAGCAAAGCTCTCAGCATCACCACCACTTTGGAAGTTCAGTCCATACACTTGTTTGTTGTCTCTCCATTGGTGGAATGTTGGTGTAGCCTGGTTATATTTCAGGCCTTTCAGGATTGCACAGTTTATCACCACCTTAGAAAGAAAAGAACCAGATTAGAACATTACGACTGTTTTACTTTAGTCAGCATCTAATAGATAATACATTCCAATAGTGTTTTTGCTATAAACAAAAATTACCCAAGACAAAAGTTGAGTAACCTTCCCAATAAAAATGACTAATGTTGAGTAACCTTCCCAATAAAAATGACTAATGTTGAGCAACCTTCCCAATAAAAATGACTAAAGTTGAGCAATCTCCCCAATGAAAATGACTAAAGTTGAGCAATCTCCCTAATAAAAATGACTAAAGTTGAGCAATCTCCCCAATAAAAATGACTAAAGTTGAACAATCTCCCCAATAAAAATGACTAAAGTTGAGCAATCTCCCTAATAAAAATTACTAAAGTTGAACAATCTCCCCAATAAAATGAGTAAAGTTGAGCAATCTCCCCAATAAAATGACTAAAGTTGAGCAATCTCCCCAATAAAAATGACTAAAGTTGAGCAATCTCCCCAATAAAATGACTAAAGTTGAGCAATCTCACCAATAAAATTGACTAAAGTTGAGCAATCTCCCCTAATAAAAATTACTAAAGTTGAACAATCTCCCCAATAAAATGACTGAAGTTGAGCAATCTCCCCAATAAAATGACTAAAGTTGAGTAACCTTCCCAATAAAAATGACTAAAGTTGAGCAATCACACCAATAAAAATGACTAATGTTGAGCAATCTCCCCAATAAAATGACTAAAGTTGAGCTATCTCCCCTAATAAAATTACTAAAGTTGAGCAATCTCCCCAATGAAAATGACTAAAGTTGAGCAATCTCCCCAATGAAAATGACTAAAGTTGAACAATCTCCTCAATGAAAATGACTAAAGTTGAGCAATCTCCCCAATAAAAATGACTAAAGTTGAGCAATCTCCCCAATAAAATGACTAAAGTTGAGCAATCTCCCCAATAAAATGACTAAAGTTGAGCAATCTCCCCAATAAAA